GCAGACCACCAAACAGCCACCACAACCTTTTTGGAGTACAATTCCGGCTTTAGGAAGTGCTGTGGAGTTTGATCATGGTACAAACTTTGAGCGGTGCGTCGCCGATTACCTTACCTACTTTATATCGCAAATCACAATGCGGTTGGGAAGCGAGCCGTTGTTACTGTGCACGAGGGCAGACGCCTTTCCAATCTCCCGCAAAAGACTGCTACATATGATAATAATAAGGCAGAAGCAAGATCTCAAACAGTTTTGCGGGGGTCCGGTCCAACTAATTGACCGTCGTTCAATTTTGATGACTGTCCACAATGGTCTTCATTTTCAAGCCTCACGTAAAATTTTCCAAATCTTTGAAACCAACATTGTGCAGTTTGGTCATTAGTTGTTCAAGGACCACATGCACTGCCGATGCCGCAAGCAGTCTCTGATCAAACTAAAATTGGAAGAAAATTGTGCGATTTTGTGTTCTCCATGTTACATTAAATCTTCTGCAAAGGTGTAAAAACCTATCTTGGCTAAACTATTAATAATGATAGAAACAGCAAGAAACATGCTTCAAAACGATAGATATGGTCAAGGTGACTTATTAAAATTTATGCAACAAATATCAACAACTTTATTAACAAACTAGTACATCCCCTTGAGGACTCAAAATAGCGAATGGAGTTCTGCAGCACGGATTATTTACATTTAACAGGGAAGAGTATTCCACCGGATTATGGTCTCCAAATTGTGTCCAACACTGATGTGCCATGTGGCCAGGGACCTTGGAGGACGCCAAAAACGCGCGAAATGGTGAGGTTAGTCGTTGGGAACAGCTGAAGTTCAGTTCAGTTGATCAACTATGATCCAAACACCGAAGCGCGGTGGATCTAGTTGCCACGACTCACATAGCAAGAACAACGGCAAGATATTGGGGCTCAAGGCAAATAAAATGGAAGCAAGAAGTGCGTAAAAGTAATCAGAATGGAACGAAAATTAACAACCAGATTCAAGAAACCAAATGTAGGAACGCCACCGACTGCGCCATGCCTGATACGGTCACCAGTTATTGGCGTGGATCATCCAGGAAGACGGCACGCAGCCGCCTAAGTCACTCAGTCAATTTCTTCATGCCTCTATGCCACGTAATAGGCTGGTCACCTCGCGGTTTCACCCAACTTGGTGCAGCCGTGGTGTATAATGCGCACCGAGGAAGCCGGTCAATGGAGGACACGCCCCAACCAACGTAATCGATTAGGATTCAGCAAACACTCGAGCAAGGAACCAGAAGACTTTTAACTTAAAGCCAACTGGCGGACCTCAGCATTGCCCACTCGGTGTTCCCACCAGAGATGAGCAATAGTTAGCAAGCACTGAGGGTCAAACGCGGCCAAGAGTTTAATGTCTTCGTCGTGAACTGGCCAGGTCTCTGATCCACACAGTAAGACCAGCCTAATCGTAGCGTTATACACCCTACTTTTCACTGACAGGGTGATATCCCGCCGTCACCATGGATGGTTGTGTCTCTGGAAAGCCCCACAGACCTTGATGATACGCGAAATAACTTCTTCAGTGATGTGACTACCAGAAGTAACACAACTACCAAGGTAAGTGAACCGATCCACCAATTCCAGCGGGTGTTTAGTGATAGCTAGAAACGGGAGTGTCGGTCCAGTCCCGAAAGCAGTACTTTGCACTTTGAAGGCGCAAAGCACATGTCGAATCGTGCAACGCTACGCACAACTCAGTGCAGTAGTGTTTGCATAACCAATGAATCAGACTCAAGGAGAACTATGTCGTCCGCATACTCCAGATTTGTCAGTCGGTCACCTGGCACAACTTCCACTCCAGAATAATCTGAAAGAACCGTCATTCATGGCCATTTCGAGCCTGACTTTCAGCGAATTGGTTCTCACGAGGACCAGTAAGTCTTGGGAGAATGATACCCGTGAGGGGGAAAAAAGTTAATGTTTCGATGATTTCCGCACAAAGTATGCTGACCCTTTTAGAAGTTGGGTACGACAGTCGTCTCTCACTGTTCCAAATCGGGTTAAACAGAGTAGAGAGTCCAGTCAACAAAGGGTCACCACCATATTTCAGCAATGCTGGAGGAAGGTCGTCAGGTCCAGGAGTCTTGTTTCGTTTCAATACAGAAAGCTCATGTCGAATCTGTTCCAAAGTGGGTGTGATAACTACTTCCCACGTCGGCTCAGGCGATTCGGAAAGGGGTAGTATCGCAGCAGGCCTGCTGAACTGCTCCTCAAAATGTCCTGTTCAACGGCTAGTCGATGTTGCAAATTGGATCAGCTGCCCGTCTTTCACATCTATTGTCTCGCAAACAGATGGCTTGCTCGGACACGTTCCGGATGAGCTGGAATAGCACTCGGCTGTTGCCATCTCACGGCTCATTGTCCCCCACCAACATTTCCGGTCGATTCGAAGAATACTTGCGATGTGTCGTTTCAGAAAGTTACGGATATGCTGAAATTCTGTGTCCATTGGAATTTGCCTCAGATCCGTTCGCAATTATGACGTCTTAAGTTGGGTGCACAGTATGCGTCAAAGACGTTCTTCATGTCACATTTGAGACGATCCCAGTGAGCGTTCGGTCCACCAACCTTATTCATCACTGACAATTGGTGGGCCAGTTTAAGGTGATAGTGTTGAATTGCAGATTGCGAGTTCGTTACAGGTAAGAAGATAGGAGCTTCTTTGAGGCGGGGGGAGTGAGCGCCAAGCGTGCGCGCACTAGAGCGTGATCGGAATCCAAGCAAATGCTCCAAATTGATCGACAGTCTTGCACTGATGTGCGCCATTTGTAGCTAGTGGTCATATGGTCAATTTAGGTCCCAGTCATTGAGGGATTTGGTGGGCGCCAGATGACGTGGTGTGAATGTTTGTGCTGGAAAGCAGCGCTGCCAAAGGTTGCGGTTGGCGCAGAGTTGTAGGATTTGATCACCAGTCTGTTCGGCGTGCATCGACTCCAAAGCGATCGCCCAGGTGTTGTTCATAGTCTGAAAGATGACCAACTTGGGCATTCATGTCACCAGTAACAATCACGGTGTCAGTAACCTTCGACATGCGAAGAGGAGAGTTGTCGATAGAAATCGCCCTAGATACCATCTGAACTGCATTCAGCACGGGCACAAACTGAAGTGATGAAAAGGCACCCTGGCTTCAGACGCTATTTATTAACACCAATAGAGGTTCCAAGTCGAATTGCACACATGCGGCTGGTCACCGGTATTCAGTCGAGCATATTGCCTCCAGCATGTTTGCTGAGGGCAAAATCAATACCGTAAATGCTTTGAGCCATTGATTTAGTATCGCCAGAGACGCGAAGAGTGTAGTCATCATCATGAGATTCAGAACTAGGGAATAGAAGATTCCTTATGATGCTATTATCTGGTATGCGTGGTTCGGAGACACAGCACACATCAATACCAAGAGTGAAAGCTGCCTGCTGGCCGATCTGACCCAAAAATCAGACGTTAAAGGAACCAATGTGAAATGAAACTCTAGGTTTGACGGAAGAGCTACATGTATCGATGGCAGCAGCTGCGAGGTCAGTGACAGTCGCTTGCTCAATAGACGGAGAAGGGGAGTATTGTCGACGCGGTCGAGAGGGCAGATGATAATCTCTACCCATTCAGAGAGGGGTTTGTTCAAGGTGATCTGACTCTAGCCTTTGACCCAACAGTCGGACCAACAAGGCAGTGGAGAACATGGAGGTTCGCTTGGGGGACTCCACCCGGAGCCTTGGGCTCAATAGCCAAACTCACAAAGCAGTGGAGAACAAGTCCAGCTCCGAAGTGTGATTGGCGGGACCTATTGGGATCTGCTTGTGGCCTGCCACACAGAGTCTTTGAAAACTTAGACCAGCGCACATATGTTTTACAACGATATTACGTGACGCGCCTGCGGCCACGGCCAGTCGCAGGTGGGAGTTGGCGGATTTGCACCAAGTTGACCAGGGGCTGCCTGGCGGGTGGCAGCAAACCATTGAGCACCGTAAGATGCCCTCCCACCATCACAGACAATTCGTGGCGCTCGTGCTTTACACCAATAAAGCTGTGAGCTTATAACCCGTAGATCTATTGTCTTCTATAGCTAAGTTTTAAAGGAACAGGGCTATCGATCTTTCCCTAACCTCCGAAGTAGATTGGATTGTAAGACTTAGTCTGACCCCGAAGCGTTGACCTGTCAGATACGAGTAGCTCTGAAAATACTTGCATAGATCAATGGGTCACGGAGGTATGCCAACCATCGCACCAAGCTAAGGTCCCGTCTCGTTGCGATGGAACAGCTGAAGGCTGATCCCGTTGATATGAAACCCGGATGGAGGAAGTTCACACTCAAATTAGTCGGATTGACATTTTGAGAAGTAGCTTGGCGGGTATACTGCGTCCTCATCAGTCCACAAATTGTCTGAACGCAGCCGAAATACTGACGCTGAATCTACTACGCAGAAATCAGGAATGAATTGATGTTATTGAGGGGACAAAGTGGCGGGAACGGATGATACCTCGATAGACGATGGTAGTATCTCGATGCTCGTTGATGTTGCTATCAGTTAATCCTTCCATCTAACGAATACACCTTTTACTGGGAGATCAGCTCGTTTTCGGAGATTTTACACTTCCTAGTCGGTGTCACCTAATTTTTCGACGACGTGGCTCTTGGTGTATAAATTCATAGCACTTAGGCGCTTGGCAAATAGAAGACGACTAGAAGTGAACAAAGCATGGCAGTTTCGGATAATCCACAGAAGTAAACGTAGCAGAGAAAAGCAGGTCGTCCATGGCCCTAAGCGGAGTACTAGCGCTTAATGTCCTCAGTTACTAAAGTAGGGTGAATTCAGAAAGGCCCAAAGTCGGTCACGAGAATCAGAATGGAGTGGCTAATCTCTATAGCAAGAGTACGAAAACACTAGCGCTGAGATGGTGAGAACTCGCATCAGCTGCTTCGAAAGAAGACGCAGATGTGACCGACTTCGTCGTAAAGGAAACGAAACGACTACGTCAATAGAAGAGTGTCTATTGTATGTGTATAGATGAAAAGAAATAGCAAGCTTACCGATACAAAGAAACACATGTACATACATACATCCACAAGTAGAAAAGACATAAAAAGAGAATAAGCGGATGTGATATTGAATAAGACCGACTACTGTACGGATAAATGCTCAACCGGAGGAAAAAGAAAACAGTTCATGATCTGCATTGAATGAAAGAGGGGGATAAAAAATAGGAAGAATAACAAGCTATCGAAAACCGTTGGAGGAAACAATAAAAGGTGTAAGAGGTTGAACAAAACCGGGTGGTAAGATCAAGCTAACCAAATGGAAAGCATATGAAGGGTGTGAAAAAGACGGATTCATCCTCTGGGAGAAAAAGTTAGAGAAGTAAGTCCACCGAGGCAGAGATCGAAAAAGTGGCATAATGTCACCGGTTTCGTGAGGCTATTTATCGAGCCAAATGCAATAGGAAAACAAAAATGCTGTACACCATAAAGGCAAAAGTTGTCGAATGCTGTAGCGCCAGAAAGACCCTATTGTATATGTTGGGTGGAATAGCTTCGAGTGAAGCCTGGCTGAGAAGGAACGTAGGGGGCTATAGACAAGGGGTAATTAAGCGAGCGGGGTCAGGGCGCTTGCGTCTATTTGGGTGGCCTGGTTGTGAATTCGGACAGACGAAGTGTACTGAGGGACGATCGCACTCCACGCTTGCTGTATCAGTGTGACTAGAAGCGGAGATATTGCAAATAGGCCCGTCACCATTAAAACGGTGTGGATCGGAAAAGACCCGCTGAACGGGCTCCGGCTTGGTGATAGCAAGATGGTTTTCCGGACCATCACGTTCTGTCGGAATCAAGGGCTGGCGGCTCCTCATGCGTCTGTTGTGGAACCAGTTCAATATCTAGGATAAAAAAGAGGCGTGACAAAAGTGCATGAAAGGTACAGTGTGCTCCAAAAACAACAAGGAAGGACAGTAGAACACAGAAGCAGCAAGAGAAAACAATGTGGGCAACAAGCGAGAAACAACATGGATATGGAAAACGGGGATCGCATATTGTACAAGCTACATTAAACAGTCAGATGCCATGAGTGATGCATTGTTCAAATCGATAACGATAACACTGGTGTCGAAATCAACACAAGCATAGGCACGATTAGTTCGTCAGATCAATGTCGTAGAGTATGTCTCCAGGTACAGCGTGGGAGGATAAATTTGCTCTGTGAGCCTTAAGCACAAGTAGTTTGGTGGATCTATGCCGAGCTAAAAAAGTGAACGGTTGGGAATTTCGGAAACAGAAAAATGAATCGACTTCGATTCGCCCGAATCGGATCTCCTTTTACGTGTTCTTGTGAAGTTTACGTACCCAACCTGCAGCCTTGTGCATAGCGAGGATCTACACAGTAATTGTGCTGTGGTGTTCAGTTTGAGTTGACCTTGGAAGGCTTCTAAAATGTTGACTTGGGGCTCCAATTATGTGGGTTCGGTTCGTTGGAATAGCAACGACATAACAAGTATGCTGATGATATCATCCCAGTTGAGCATGTAATCCAATGAGAAAAGTCTACACTTCGCCCTCTCGAGATATAAAGCGCTGCTCCAGGAATGATCAATGCTTGTTCCTCTGTTAACTCTAGAAGATGTTCAATTTAAACAGGTTGATAGCTTTGACTGCTTGGAGATTTGCGCTTTTTGCCGGTGGCCCAAATGGAAAAGTTTCTCGACGCATCGGCGAAGCTTGGCACGCGTTTGTCGACCTGAGACACGTGGTGTCGCCGGGACATTTCACTCTAACTAATGTACCGGGTTTATATCACCTCCGTTCGTTCGGTGTTGTATGGAAACGAAATCTGGTTTGCTCGCGTGGAAGACATGCGCCGCATTTAGAACTTTGAAAATGCATGTTTGAGGAGGACTGCTCATATGTAGAGGCAACGTAGAAACCGCACCCATGAAACTAGACGTTGTGCCCTGAGGAATATATATATATATATATATATATATATATATATATATGCATCGGTCTATAAAATAGACATTGAGTTATTCAAAACAACGGTAATATGACTACGAATAATAATATACACAACGATGTCAAACGTAGTGAAGAATCGATAAATAACTTTTTTTCACACGCCGTTTTTCAGTTTTAAGAGGCTAATACTTTTGAAATCGGGAGCACACACAGACTTGAGCGCATCGTTTCTATTGCGACCGGTTTTGTGCCATTATTTCGAGTGTTATAAGATATCGGCATTCTTCATCTTTCGGTCCCAATCGGGAAGGTTTACCGGACCAGCAGTTGATAGACAGGATGTCAGCGATTTGATGCCTTGTCAACAGGTGGTTGGCTGGCACCCATACGGCCTCTTCCAAAGCAGCTCTGCATGTACAAATCGCTCGCCAGACATGCGCAAGAAGTGGCCAAGCTATTTCAACTGACGCAATAGAACAAGCTGATAGTGTGAGAAATCCGCCTTACCAAAGACAGGTTGTCTGATGGCATCCTGTGTTGCTACCATACACGGGCGATCCTCCGCAGATAAACGTTGTCGAAGGTCGAGAGCCTACGTATTTCATCCACTCGCACCTCGAAACACCGAGGAATATAACATTTATCATTTATCATGTACAAAGTACAGCACGAACACAGGCAGCATAAACCCTGCCTTTGAGCAAAAGCGAGATGTCACGACGACGCCACAAGTGTCTCAAATTGGCAAAGGTTGAGCGGGCTTTAGCGATACGGAGAGGCACATCTTCCTCGATACTTCCGTAGATGAAGATACTGCTCCCAAGGTAAACAAAACCATCCACCTGCTCAAGCTGAGTGTTTTCGATGGCGAGCTGAGGGACAGCATTCTGCCAATGCTGTGTCGACACTTTAGATTATGAGGGGGGTAAAGCACATGTCATACTTAGACACTTCATTCACCAGTCGGTTAAGAATCAGTTGCATGGAATGAGGGTCGTCACAGAGCAAAGCGATATAATCAACGTAATCTAAGTCGATTGCACGATTACTTGGAAAGAGCTCAATTCCAGAATTCTGAAAGCCCACTAAAGCTCCCAACAGGACTTCCTCGATTGCGAAGTTGAAAAGAAATGGAGACATAGGGCATCGTTGTAGCACACCACTGGTGACAGGGAAGAACGCGGAGAGCTTGCCGTAGGCTCCTACTCTGCCTGAAGTATGAAGATATATCGTCCGAAAAATAGCGACGTACTTTTCAGCAACTCCGATTTTTAGTAGGGAACGCTATAAGGCAAGTTTGTCTAGCGAGTCGAATGCAGCCCGAATGTCTAGGAAGATGACGACAGTGTGTCAGCGGTACACGTGGCGATGTTCAAGGAGCTAACGAAGCGTGAATATACGATCCACGCAACCTCTGCAGGGGCGGAAACCAGCCTGCTCCTCTCGATAGTGCGCCTCGAGAGTTGGTGATAGTCCGCGCAACATAATGGGTACTAGCAGCTTGGAGACAACTGATATCAGGTTGATTTCCTTGTGACTCGGACATGAAGTCCGGGAGCCTTTTGAAGACTGGGACTATAACTAACTCTCCTCATGAAGAGGGGATCCTTTCTTCCCTCCATATCTTCAGAAATAGAAATGTTACCTAGGTGAAAATTCCCGTACCATAGCTGGCTGAACACTACTGGAGGAAGCTCCTCCGAAACAGCAGCCTTAAAGGGCCTCAATTGCCTAATCACAAGGCGAAGTTCGGCCTCAGTGGGTGGTTCGAGTCACACGGCCCATGGCGTACTACGGAGTGAGCTGAGTGCGAAAGTGGACAACAAGGGAGAACTGAACTCAGATTAATAATGCTCAATCCATCAATTCAGGCGTCTCTGCAAGTTGATGACTTGTGACCTTTGCATCTCGCAGATAACCTCGCTGACACCAGACCTTTGGTGACCAGTAGTCTGAATGAGCTGAAACAACCTGAGAGTATTTCCATAGAGAGCGGCAGTTTCCATCTCCAAGGTGCGTTGAGCCCACCAAGCTTCACGACCACCTCGAAGGCTTCGTTTGTGTTGATGGCTGATAGCGCGGCAAAGCTCATACTGATCGGAGTTAAGTGGGAGAATTCGGCAGCGCTCGAACAGCGTCAGGGAGCGCGCGGAGATCCAATTCTTTGAAGGACGATGAGTGGAATAACAGACTGATTAGCCAGAAGATAGCAACGTATTCTGCAAGAAGCTGCAATGCAGTTCGACGTCAGTTGGAGGAACACAAGCTATGGCGTTTGTCAATGACAATTGGTAGTTCAGTTAAGTCGACGGATCGGCTGCTAGCCTGTTCGTTTTAAGCCTACAATGCTTCCGTTTGGGGGCACCCCCAAAGCGCATGCAAATCTTCGCACAAACCAGTGCGTGATCAGAATCAAGGTAAGCAGAGCAAAATGATCTCCAGTCCCGTATGCTAGTTCGCAACCTGAAACTGATTGCAATGTGATCTATTTGAGACCAAGCCTGCATTGGTGAAAGGGGACGCCTGGTGGTAGAACGCTTCCTCGAGTGTCTGAAGTTGGTGCTTGCGAGAAATAAACCCGGGTTTTCACACAAAGTAAGCGGCTCGCTTTCGTTATCGGAGCGATTCTCGTGCAGTGTATGATGGCCACCCAAGTGATATTCACCTGGAAGTAGGCGACCAACATGTACACTGAAGTCCTCGGCGAGGACGACAGCATCCGATTTGATGGCTTGCGTAAAAGCTGGTGAATTTGGCAATAAAAGTCGTCTTTGATCGATTCAAAGTTACAGTCGGTTGGCGCATAGGCAGAGAGCACGAACAGGTTGTGCCACTCAGCACAGTGCCTGTTAACTCCACATGAATCGGTTGTTGATTTGGAACCAGTCCAGCAGTTTGGCCTGGGCTTTGCTGCTTAATGTCGCACCAACGCCTGCCAAACCAGCTGCAGCCGCTTATGCGTCGCCAGAAAGACGTAGGTGGTATGTGGCTCCTTGGTTCATCGAGGAAGTGCTCGGATTTTGCAATCTAGTTTCGGAAAGGCAGCATATATCAATAGCGAGTGAGTCCAGAGTGCGTGCTACGCCGGCAAATTGCCAAACTGCATGGGAGTTCGAATACCGAGCGTCGCCAGCCGAAACGAGAATCGGGGCCGAAGAATAGTCTCAGGCCAGACTTTGAGGGTGGCATCGAGACCGGGTAGTATTTCGCCCTCTGACGAAACCGTGGACATTGTTGTGTTGTGTTTTCTTTTACTATTTCTGTACCTTGTTTTGAGTTCCATGGTTTCCGATGGTGCAATGTCTATTCATAGACTGTTGCAAATATATATATATATATATATATATATATATATATATATCGAGACCGCTGTAGAGATTAAATTGAGGGTAAAACTGGTTAATACCAGACAAATGACTGGCACGTGATGGAAGTTGGTGAAAAACTACGAAAAGAGGAAGAGAGCGTGCGATGAAGTAGTAGTATGGTCCATGATTTCTGCAACCCAAGCCAAAGTTGGGAGTTGTCTTAGAGGGCTCTACCATGAGCCTTTAGCTAGAGCGTCTACCCGTAAGGCAGCGGGGCGAATTCTGGGAATGGCACCAATTGCGAGCCGGTGACCGATTTCTCCGTTCATGCACCTTTCGTCTGGTAAGGCACCAAACAGGCGCCCAATCCTCCCTAGAATTTCAGCACAGGACTGGTTAAATACAACGCTTTACCTGGGTGAAGTAAGGGGCAATGACTTTATTTGATAAGCAGTCATATCCGCCGCGTAGCAGACTTTTGTGGCTTCTTAAAAAGAGAACGCTTGGCAGGCGAAAACCCACCACGTCCTGGAATACTGCTGCCGAGCCATTTGCTGGAACGGGGTAAACCCGAACCACCCAGCTGACACCACAAGGCTGTTCCGTTAGCCAGCTGACATTCACTTCAACGATCTGGTTTTGCTGAACCGATTGTGTTGGCTCGGTTACATATCGCGCAAGCAGTTCCTCAACCAATCGTGGTCAACCTTCCACGGCGACAACATGTACAGCCGCTGTTTGACCCAAGGACAAGGAGTGCAATTGACTGAAAATATTCGAGGATATGCTAGTAACTTGAAAATTAACATTTAAGTCTATAGAACAGAATACCATCTGGTGAGACATTGCTTTCAATGATTCAGCAAATCATTACAATTATATGGAGGCTAGAAAGAAAATCGACCCAGTTAGTTCAAAACGACTTGGTCACGTGAAGGTCTATGTCAGAGTGGAGAAAAGGAATTAGGTCTTAGAGGACTAGCTGTTTGCTACGGCGTCTGACCGAAGGCAGTCGACCTGGGCGTCTTTCCTCTTCGCTGGCCAGGGAAGCTGGAAAGCCTGGACCAGCGTCTTCTGTGAGCATAAGGACGGCTGGAACAATCGAATGCATACTGCTTCCGTTGTCGCAAGCGTACGAAGGCGTTAACCTTTCGTTCAATGCGGCGGAAACTTGTAAACTATTCGGAAAGCGCGTATCCAATCCACCTCATGGCCGGTGTCCACAATTTGGGCCAGAATGGCGCTACTAATGGTCCCGGCGCCTCCTTGACGCAGCCAACGAGGGCAATGTTCGTTCACGCGTTCGGATAACTGCCGCGCCGTCGTTTTGAACTAACTGGGTCGATTTTTCTTTCTAGCCTCCATATGATTGTAATGGTCAGATGATGAATCATTGATATGCTAGTAACCGGAATTTGTAAACGCTTTGCGTACACATTTGTCTAGACGCATACATCAAGGGCAAAAGTACGCCGGTACGCAGTACCGACGCTTCGCCGTCGCGCAACCACCAACAGTCGCGCGTCGACTACTGATACTGCGAGTCGCTCGGTCTTTACGCAGGCTCGAACATGCGCCCGCAGATTACGAGGCAAGCCTGTGATCTTTTAGCCCACGGGCCGGTAGACGTATATATGAAATGATAAAAGCACTGGAAATGACAAAAAACGAAAAAAAAACGGCGAGTAGAAGGTTCAAGTATTCGGATATTTTTTAGCGAAAACTGCGCCCCCCATGGATATACAAAGAAAGAAATGCATGGTTTTCGATGGCACCAGGTCGATGGTTTAGATATATATATATATATATATATATATATATATATATATATATATATATATATATATATATATAAACCATCGACCTGGTGCCATCAAGGATGAATTCTACCGGATCTACAACAGCTCTTGACTTATGCTAAAAGTCGGATGTCGTTATCCTTGCTGGGGATTTTAATGCACGGGTTGGCCGCCTGTTACCAAACGAAAGCCACCTTGGTGGTCACCACGCGCTCCATGAAAACTGCTCTGAGAACGGAGAGAGGCTTCTCACATTGTGCGAAGACAACCGTCTGTTTCTTTCGAGCCCTAACCTCAAGCGTACGCAGAAGCGTTCCGAAACGTGGCGTCACCCTTCTTCAGCACAACCGTGGTCTCAAATTGATCACATTGCAATTAGCTTCAGACGGCGCGGCAGCGTATTGGACTGCAGGTCCTTTTGGTCCACCTTCGTTGACTCAGATCATGCTCTGGTCTGCGCGAAAATCTGTAGGTGTTTTGGAGGGTCCCGAAACACGTAGCACCAAAAGACTGATGTAAACAGATTAACTAATTCCTCTGTCCAGACGAGCTATCAGTCTTCACTGGCATATGTACTCGGTTGCAATCCACCGCGAAAAGTAGAACACTGGACTTGTGTACGGAAAGCGATGACCGTTACCGGACAGTCATGCTGCGGCCTAACTCGACGCCCCTTGAAGGTTTGAATCTCTGCTCGTTCTCTGGAGCTGTCCGAACGCCGCAAAGATATCCCCCACAGAATCAGATTGCAACGAGCGGCGCCGTTCTGCCAACCGGCTGCTCAAGCAAAGCCTACGCAAGGATCGCGAGACATAATGGTTTGAGCGTGCTTTAGAGATGGAGACGGCTGCCCTCTCTGGCAACACTCGCAGGCTTTTCCAACTCATTCGGTCCACTGGCCTCATGAAGCCTGGTGTCAGTGAGGTCATTTGTGAGGTGGATGAGTCTCCGATCACCAACCAACAGAGGCGTATGGACCGTTGGGCCGAGCACTTTCACTCGCAATTCAACTGGCCTCCACCACCCATCAGTACATGCAGTACACCTTGCAGTCCACCCTGGCTCGTCCCCCTGAATCCACTCAGCGAAGCGGAAGTCTGCCTCGAGATTCGACGCTTGAAGCGCTTCAAGGCTGCCGGCTTAGACGGACTTCCTTCGGAGCTATTCAAGTACGGCGGTGTGGCGATCATTAACCAGCTGACCGCGCTGTTCGCAAAAATTTGGCGTGAAGAGAAAGTGCCTTCCTCTTGGGGCGAATCAGTTATTGTCCCGATTTTCAAGAAAGGCGCTCGCCCTTCATGTGTAAATCATCGCGAGATTAATCTTATTTCGGTTACCTCTAAGCTACTGGCATCCATTCTGCTTCGCAGACTATCTCCAGTATGTGAATCATATTACCGCGAAGAACAAGCTGGTTTCCGTCGTGACCGCGGATGCGTGGATCAAATCTTCACACTCCGCCAGCTCCTCGAACATCGCCACATTTATCACAGGCCCACTATCATTGCATTTCTAGACATACGTGCCGCTTTTGACTCCGTTGATCGACCTGATTTATGGCGTTGCTTACTAAAGAACGGGGTGCCAGAGAAATATACTGCCATCTTACGAGCACTTTACCTTCATACATCCGGCAGAGTGAGGGTCTATGGCAAGCTTTCCTCGCAATTCACTGTCAATAGCGGTGTGCGACAGGGTTGCTCTATGTCCCCATTCCTCTTCAACTTCGCAATCGAAGACGTTCTGTCGAATGCTCTAGAAGGTTTCCAACATTTTGGCTTAGAGCTTCTACCGCGTGAGTGCGCGACCGACTAAGATTATGCTGATGATATCGCCTTACTTGGTGACGATCCTCAGAGTATGCAACTCATTCTGGATCGTTTGTCGGTTGAAGCATCTAAGTATGGCATGAGGTTCGCCCCATCGAAGTGTAAAGTACTGCTCAAGGACTGGCTTTCACCTGCTCCCGTGCTCACTCTCGAAGGTGCACAAATTGAACAGGTAGATAGTTTCGTCTACCTTGGGAGCTGTGTTTCTGCTGACGGCATTATCAAGGAAGAGGTTTCTCTTCGTATCGCTAAAGCTCGATCAGCATTTGTCAATGTGAGGCACTTGTGGCGTCGTCGCATTCTCACTAAAGGGCCGCGTTTACAGCGCATCAGTTCGCTCAGTATTGTTGTATGGGTGCGAGTCCTGGCCAATTCGCGTGGAAGACATGCGTCGCCTTTCTGCGTTCGATAACGGTTGCTAAAGGAGGATGGCTCTTGTTTGGTGGCAACATCGAGTTAATAGTAATGACGTTCGATGTCGCATCTTGGGGAATGCGAGTATTCCCTTCAACAAACTGGTTTTGTTGCGCCAGTTAAGATGGCTCGATCACGTCCTAAGCATGGCACCTGAGCGTCTACCACGTCGCGCACTATTCGCTCGTTAAGGACCTGGATGGAGGCGACCGCGTGGTGGTCAGCCTTCCACTTGGCGGCAGCACATGAAATCGCTGACGTCGTGTCTAGCCGCTGCTGGATCCGTACGTCTTCCAGGATGGGAACCCTAAGATGAGGAGTGCCAATGGCTTAGCACTCTTGAAGACATGGCCCACCACTGGAATCAGTGGAAGAATTGTGTACAGCATTGTACTGATTCACATGTTTAATACTACAAACATTGAAAATGACAAAAAAGAGCAAAATCGGCGTGTGAAAAACAAACTAAAAATGTTCCATTCTTCCTGCGGCATATTAGCTGAAGTGTGTTGCTCACCTTCAACTATCATGCCACGATGATTATGTCGCAATGACTGTTATTCACTGATCTCCATGGTTTTCTGTTGGCACTTTGTCTAGTTGATAGACAGCTGAGACTACGACGACGACAACAACAACAACTACTGCTGCTACTACTGCTACTATTATTATTATTACTACTATATACAGCAAGAAGAATTAGGCGCTTCCAAGCGAGATTGTGCTAGGGACACAAAAGAAGAACCTAAGCAAACAAAAGTATAAAGGGCAAAAGTGTTGAGACTGGACCGATGAGCTGCTTCGCAGATACAAGTTTCTCAAAACGCGGAGTACGGTAGGTATATGCGCTGAAAGTATATCACATTTCCAACTGTCCGAATGAGAGAAAGGTAAGGGGAGAAAAAATTACCGTTTTGTAGCTAAGATCCAGCTCTTTGGCAAGTTCACGTAATCTGTCTGAATGCGGGTACGGTTGTCGATTGAATGTGCTCACAAGCGCCTCCTTCTGCGTCTCAGTGAAAACAACGCGGTTGCGTGCCGGGGAAAGCTTCGATGGGGAGATCGTCGTACAGGTCAAATTGCCTGTCTCAGCTGAGACAGATGCGCTTCTCCCGGAAGAATCCGATTTGAGTGGTGTAGACAACCGCGACGGAGTGGCATTTTTCATTGGCGAATCGACCTGTGCCTTAGTTCTCGCGAGTTTGCCGGTGCTGCCAGTGCTATTTGCTCGCTGCATCGCGGCCGCAGCGGCTCGAGCGATATCAAAGAGGCTTTGGCGATCACGTTCACACAGTTGGTCGGAGGATCCATTCGGACAGTCAGTGGGAAATGGTGGCTCCTGATGAGGAGGATTGGCAAGTATGGATGAAAAAGGGTGCTGAAGTGCATCGTCCTGAGTACCCATTTGGCTTACGCCTGCGTAATTCAAATCGGTCGACGACTCCAGAAATGTGGCTCCATCTGTATCCAAAGCAGACAACTCCGGGATGGAATACAAATAGCGCTCTGAAAGCAGGATAGCAGAAGAAAAGTAAATACAGAAAATACAAGTTTGAGAGTATGATGATAAGAATCTTTGCAGTAAAATTATTGATCAGGGAACAAGTTCTGCGTTCCTGCGGACTTACGCCTATGTGTCAGCTGCGTCTGCTTTAGTGACTCAATTCGATCCGGCTGCTGTAACCACGCATACAACTGCAGGTAAGCCAGTTTGGCTCTGGGGGAAAGTTGGTCCCACGGGCGGGGTTTGTTCAAAAGTTCGCTGACTGACGCCTGTGACAGACCCAGAACAAAGTCACCGAACAAACGTTGAGAAACGTTTAAGTCACGGAGATGCTGAGTGAGAGGGGGCAAAATTGGGGCAAAGATCACAAGTCAGATGATGAAACGAAAACTCGGCATGATACAATAGTGGAGAAGAGAACCCGCTTCAAAAGACGCTGTATGTCGTCCCAAACGCGGACGCCGCAGGTGGCTCAAAACGACGAGGAAGCAAAATCGTCAAACATGCGAAGGGCACATCGGTTTTAAGGCAAATCGATAGAATCGAGTCAAATAAGAGCGAAGGCGATAGAAAAAAGTGAAATCGCATAATACTTAAGGGGAAAAAGTGAAAAAGCATTAGTCGGAGACGTGTATGCCCAGGTGACGAACAAAACTGATGGATGAGAAATACCGGCTCTCATAATAGATGGAAATGAAGTGTGCGTCAAACCTAGAAAGTGAAAATGGGGGACGACTAAAGCCTAAAGTAGAAGCAGACATTTTGTAAGATCAATGTTTTCTCTAAACAGGTCACCGAAGGATAAGAACAGAAACCCGAAACATCGCGTTTCCCTCATGGACGCTGTAATCTGAAATACGTTTACGACTCTCAAAATATGAATTCCGACACTGAGGTAACTTCAATGGCTTGGTAAGAATTAAACAGTGGGGTTGATACGGCAGACAATGCAATTTAAACCCAAATGAATCCTGCAACCTTCTTCCAAATGGAACGTTGGGCACCTAGCAGTGTGAGAGCATTATAAGTAGAGATTGCAAAACAGAAAAAATCACACCCATCGGCTCGCTGGATAGCATCTTGCGAAAAAAGACAGATAGCAGAGATTTATCAAAAGAAAAACTTACGTTTCTTATCTGATTGGCCAAATCAAATGTGTTCAGCGGAGGAACGCGATCAGATAGCTGTTTCAGTTGACAAGATGTAAGCTGATGCAGGTTGAGTTTGGAAAACACCTCCAGCGTAGCACTGTCGGGTAAGGTCAGCGTTTCTGTAGACGGCGGCTGTGATGAGGAGGAACGCGTGATCCTAGCAGACAGCAAGGACGCCAATTCTGCAGAGCCTGTGGAAGCCACTGAATGGAAAAGTGGCACATGAACAACACCACAAACGGATTCATCGGATAAAAAACAAAACATGTAGGTGGGACTTAGATTAAAACAGGACGCATCATGTATTTTTATACGATGCTATCGCTTTGCACAAACTTGTCACCGTGAATCCCATTAAAACTGGAAAGATGCAGACCGACAGCTAGTTGGTGGTATTCTGGAGGCTAAACAAGCAACTGCTGGTGGTTATAGTGACAGACATCACCGCGCTGCACTGATCGGCATCGCATAGAGGGCACGAGTAAAACAATTGACGGAGTTTCGAGAGGTGGATCAGTGCGCTTAGTAATCATTACTTATACTGTTATTAAAAGTGATGCAACAATAGAAGAGAAGCTAGTTTAAAAACATGAAAAGCCAACTAGCAGCATTAGTAGTGAGCTGTTCGGTGGTTCAGAGAAATTGAACGGATGAAGTTTTATCGAACAACTACTCAGCGTTTATGCATACTCCGGGAGCACACAGAGTTATCGATTGCACTTAATAGGTCAATGGAAGAGCAAGAAGAAAGATGTAGCGGGTCAGATGCGAGGCTTGCAAGCTCTAGGCCACGGACCCGAGCGCAGTTCTGCGACAGCCAGTCACGGTTATAAGGCCCGAACCATTTGTACAAGATATTGGCAAGACTCGGAGACAAAAGAAGGCTTTCGCAAAATTGAAAAGCGATGGCCTTTAGAAGTTGGGAAAACAAAACATGTTCCTGAAAGAAAACAGATGTGTGAGCATCAAAAGGAGCATCTGGAACAATTGTGAACACTCGAAAAAGTATGAAAGAGGAATAGTTCAGGGATTAAGAATCGTAAAACCGTCATGCTCCACTGGACTGCAACCTAAGCGGGTTAAGTTCGAAGGCGTCAAATCGGTAAACACCAAATATACGTTTTCCAATAGTGCCTCTGTGCCACAGACGGAAATGACTCAAAAATGAATGCGGTAGAAAAAGCATGATGTGCATAAGTGCAGCGTCACATTTCGTAAGACGACTTCGTGACCACGGGGCAAGCATGTGTCTTTAGTGATGGAAGCGGAATACTGAGGAACATATATACCCAGAAAGGATACAGCGCAAATATTCAGCACAGGAGTACGGTGATGAGGGATGCAAAGGTACACGTACGATGTGGAAATGGGAGTAAGTGGTCCAATGCATAATTCGTCAAATAAACTTAGAGACAAGCGATGATTCATCAATATCATGAGCGGAAGTTCACGCGCAAGTGTTAGTACACGATGTGACTCACCTGGTGCGATGTAATTAGTCAAATTGTCAGAGCCATGCCCCTCCTCCCTGACGGTGTCAGCGTTGCAGCATGTATCGGCAGCTGAGTTGTAACGCACGCCGGTAGTGCAGTTGGCAGAGGCCGCCGCGGAGCTTAGGATTGCATTGGCTGAAGTGGGAAGAAGCGAAACGTATCAATATGAGGCAGAACAAAGAGTGGGAATTTTGCGGTTGCATGTGCAGTGTGGACAAGTGTTTGTAAGGAGAGAGTTAGGGAGCCCTAGAAATATGAAAGCGACACTAATAGCGTGGATACACTGAAGACCGCAAAAAGGAAATGGGTTTACAGTGGAGGAAGACTTGATGTTAGTGAACCTATTTGCTGGATCACCAATCACTTATCTGCATAGGCGCATGGACCGCTGGGCTGGAAACCTACACTTCCAATCCAGTTGGCCTTCTCCTGTCATAAAGCAAGCGAAATTGCGCGCCTTGGAACGTTTCACTGGAACCACCCACCGAAGTGGAGGTCTGCTTGAGCTTCGTCACTTGAAGCGGTTCAAAGCTGCTGCCTCAGATGAACTGCCTCCGGAGCTGTTCAAGTACGGTGGTGAGGCGATGGTCAATCAGTTCTCGAAGATTTGGTGTGAAGAAAAGGTTCCATCTTTTTGGGGCGAGTCGGTAATCGTACCCAAATTCATAAATGTTGCTCGTACGTCATGCGCCAAAAACAAAGGTATCAGGCTAATATCCGTCGCCACCAAGGTATGAACAGACATTCTACTGCACAACCTAACAACGATCCGAGAACTACACTCCAGTGAGGACCAGGATGGGTTCCGCCCCGATCGACGGTGTGTGGACCATATGTTTACGCTCCGCCAACTTCTCGAGCAGCGCCACCTATATCGCCAGTGTAGTGACCCAGAGATTCCCCCGTATGACTGTGTAAACTATTCTAAAATATATTAAAATTATAGTTCTCTTATGTATTAGGGAATCAAGCGGTTTGCCTGTTGGAACCTTGTTCCGTTTGTTTGAAACACGAATACGATCTCCGCTTTTGGCGCGCGACTTGACTGCGAACGACGCTCCGTCCACGCACTCGACGCCCAGCTACATTCTCCCTAGATAGCTCTCTTCTGGTGCCCTATTTTTAGCATTAGTTAACTCTCCTCCCGTCCAATAAACCTTTTCCCTAGCCTACTTTTGTGTGTTCTACCCATTGCCTTTGGTTGGCCATCTAGTCTAGTGCCGAATATATAGCGCACGATCATCGCATTATACCAGCCTACCATTGTCACCATTTTGGACATCCGAGCTGCGTTGGACCAGATCGACCGACCTGCTCTACGGTGTAGTCCACAAAGGAAAGGACTTTCCGGAAATTACACCGCCATACTGAGGTATACAACAATGTCTCTGATAGAGTGATGGCTCACGGTAAGCTCTCTTCGCCTTTCGCCATCACTTGAGGTGTGCAACAAGGATGCCCCATGTCGCCGGTTCTCTTCAACTTTGCGAGTAAAGATGTCCGGTTAAGCGCTTTGAAAGGTCTCGAGGGATCTGGCGTAGAGCTGCTTCCAGGCAACTGCGCAAATGACTCGGACTATGCTGATACTGTTGCCTTGCTGGATGACGACCCATAGATCATGCAGGTCGTTCTAAATCGCTTGGTGATTGAAGCTACCAAATATGGCATGACATTCGTCCCATCGAAATGCAAGACTCGACTGGCAATCACTTGCCCCCAGTGCGTATTCTCGAAGGTGTGGAGCTTGAACAAGTATATCGCTGCAGTTACCATGGGAGCTGCGTTTCTTCTGATGGCATTATGGAGAGAGATTTCTCTCCGTATTGCCGAAAGCCGGTCACCTTTCGCTGATCTGAGGCGTCGTCTTGGCATGTCATTCCGATCGAAGGACAGGGTGTATGGTACTTGTGTTAGTGCGGTCCTGTTGTACGGAAGTGAGTCCTGGCCAGTTCGTGTAAATGATTTGTGTCGGATTTCGTCCATGGACAACGGTTGCCTGCACTGGATAGCTCGTGTGTGGTGGAAACACCAAGTTAGCAACGTCAATGTTAGATGTCCCGTCCTACGTGATACGCGCCAGCCTACCTCTTGACAATATCGCTGCGCCAACTGAGGTGGCTAGGTCATGTCCTATGCATGGCATGCCAGCGTTTGCCACGGCGCACCCTATTCGCTCGGCCAGGGCCGCAGTGGAAAAAATCACGCGGTGGCCAACCTACCACATGGCGACAAAACACCAAGGCGCTGACTTTCAGTCGAGCTGTTGTCCGAGATGAAGAACATCACTGGTTGAAGACTTGTGGGCACAGCGCGTAATCGCGGGCAATGAAGAGCATGTATGAGTCTCTGCTTTAATTCAAAGGATCAACACCATAAACTGACAAAAAAAGACAAACTGCGTGTGAGAAACAAATATTTCTCCTTGGGCATTTTCCTTATATATATATATATATATATATATATATATATATGTATATAGTGGAGGATTTAGGGAAAAACAAAGCGATGAGACAAAGCATATTGCAACATGTAAAACTACTGTATGGCGGCCTGAAGAAGGTTGGAACAATTATAAGAGGGTAAAGATGATGAATCCAACAGAACATAGCTTCCGAGCGGATGAAACGGTTCAGAATGAATTTCGGCGATTAGCAATCACAACAAGTTGTTGGTAGTACTACACTGAGGCCTAGCTGTGCACGGCCAGACCGACAGATGTGGATCAGGTGGAATTCAAAGGCGAGAAATAATGATTCGGCATGAAATCAAAGCCGGAACGATGACAAGGCGAGGGAAAAACTGATGGCAACGCAGTGAAAATCTCCACTGACTCGAAGGATCAATTGATCTCTTGTCAGAGGTTTCAGTAATCCCATAATCCAAGGATGACAAATTATGTCTTTGAGTGTGAAACCGCTATCTAGCTACTTCAGATTTTGCACAGCCTTCTGAGGAAGAAGAGTGTGGGGCTGGTTAGAAAACGGCCATCAGAACTCCGAATATTAGTTTAGTTAGAAATCATCCAAATACCAAAGTGTGACGAATCCAGCAGCCATGACTATCAGAAACGTCCACTAATCAAAAAGATGAGGCGCCCGCCTTGTAAACTTCACCGATTTAAATTCACGTGAGTGAGGGTGAGCTGGACGCAACCCCAGTGTAAAAAATTCCCTGATGAGAAACCAGATGTGTACCAGGTTGACTTTGAAGCTTCATAAGAGTTAATGGGCAGCATCTGAAAACCAGATTTTTGGAGTATCCAACGCGTGACTGAGTAGAAACATGCAATCTCCATTGAGATCACGGTTTACTTTGAGGTAAAACTCGGCTATTTCGACCACTAAATCCGCATTCGAAGTAAACAGCTCGGGAATTGATTTTAGGGTTTTGGATCACTAGCCGTCTTGGATTGCGACACGCCGAGTTCCATTCCCAGCTAGGCTATCTCTAACTGATGAGTCTAAACCAAGACGAAACCATCGGTCGTGGAGTGTAGGGATGGGAGAGAGCCATACCGAAACCCTCCACTTCGGTGACCGTCCCAGTGACCGTATTGGCATAGGCTGACTTCCAAGTCAAACGCCGCCACTAGTGAGATTGCGCGTCGCAATGCAAGACACGGCGGGTGCTCCAAATAACCCGAATATCTACTTCTAACCGCTGTGTCAAACACTGCTCGCGGAACTCAATGGCCTAGTGATCATGGCGATAAGCGCCAAGCACTATGCGCCGAGTTCCACTCCAAACTCGGCTTTCTCTATCTGATGAGTCGAGACCAAGACGAAACCATAGGTGGTGGAGTGCAGGAATGGGAGAGCCACACCGAAACCCTCCAATTCGGGACTTGCTTTCTCTCTCTCTCTCTAACGCTGCACTCCACGACCGACGCTTTCGTCTTTGCCCGCACTCTTTAGATAGAGTGTATGAGCTGGGAGTGGGGTCCGGAACAGTCTAGGGTTGGCAGTTTTAGCGTTGACCATCAAGTCATTTGGATCCGTGAGCAGCGTTTGACACAAAGAACCATTGAGGGGTTTTAGAGTACTCACTGAAGAGTCCAAACAAGGACGAAACCGGAAGTGAAGTGACCGTTGGAAAAGGGGGAAATCCGGAAACATCTATGAGGTGTTTTACTGTCGTCTCGGTTTGCATTTCGCTAGATGTAATCCGAAGAAAGTCAAAGAGGAAAAATATAGCGACTTTCCCCCGCAATTCGAACAAGCGAAAGCACAGATCGTTGATGATGGCAAGAATGTTCAAATCGGTCATCGAGAAGCCAAAAAAAGTATAACCTTTTCAGAGTCGATGTTCATCGCACCGACAATGGCGGACGCATTCTATAACTACGTCGATCACAGCTCGTATACGAACAGAACAGCACAAGCGCTTGCATCGAGTAACATTATGGCAGTCCGTGACACAAACTGGTCCCATCGCCATCAATTACAGATCACGTGATTTGGTGCGAGGACCTTGGCACATCTGGAAAGCTTGTTTTGATTCCGACCGTGCTTTCATGCGGATCCGCATAGATTCAAAGATATCTATACTCAAATTGCATCCACCATTCGCTAATAGGCAATAGCAATGTGAATGATAGTGCGAGCGGTCATAAATGAATGAAACGGACGAATTGGGTGCGGATTAGAGTCGCTGCCAATGCGCAATGCAGATGGCACTTGAAGCCGGTTGTCCACTTAGCCAGAGAATTCCGGATGCCAGGTGGATTTCTGAAGCTATTTGAAGTACGACAGATGATTCCGTCGGAATGTCAGTTGAAAGATATGATTGGCACGGGAAAGTCGTCTGACAAGTGGTTTCTGAATCACTCGGAGCTTTGGTGGATGATTATGGCCAAAGAGATGGAGAAAACCAGCGCCACTTAATAAATCAAAGATGGTCCCAACTTATTAGACTTACGGGTCCCATGAGTAATAAAACAACTGGGAAAGTTAGACAACTGTCTAGTTCTTAGCCCCATCGAAGTGAAGGTTGAGATAAACGCTTTAAAAAGTAATCCAACAGTCTTAGTGCAGCAAAATTGCCAGTTGGGTTCTTTGAATGTGCTCGGGAGGTTGACGCAGAAACCACTATTGTCAACAATGTCTGACATGATCCAATGCTAACGCAGAGTAACA